AATGAAAGGGGGGGGGGAAGTAACAGCTTTACCAGTGTAAAATAACAACCAAAACATTAAAAAAACACCACAAACCAAAGAAACAAAAAAAAAAAAACCTCCCAAAGAAACAACAAATGCCACCTGAAAATCCACAGTCTCCTTCCACCCCAGTTTTGGATTTCAGAATCACCTTATTACAGGAATCCTCACTAGATACATCAGTTGGTACAGCATGGACTTTGAAGTTTTTGTGGTAGCTGTTCCTGCCTTACTAGCAGAGCTGTAAGCTTGGTAACTAATCACTCCTTGGTAACTCGTATTTCCTCCCCAAAAGTTCCTGAAATTAAACTAGCAGGAGAAAGCATAAGCAGGAATTTGTGCAATAGAAAATCATTTTGAAATGGGCTTCCTTCCCAGCAACCCATACGGTTTTCTGAAGGGGGTGGCGCTGAATTAATTTCTCTTCCCCACATGCCCAATTGCAATTGGGAGTGATCCCTGGTAGTGCATTTTGGATATATGCCCAAATAAAGAAAACAAAACAGATTAGTTGCAGGCATCTGTGGTTTGGCTGTTGCTTGAATTTGATCTGTAGGAACTTTCATATCTAGATATCTTTCTCCCAGGTTTGTTCTCCCATCCTCTGTTGGACAGGGAAAATAGCATAAACCAACAGATACAAATCTACATATGCTCAGGACTTTCCCAACTGTGACACTAACATGACTGAAGTTGGTGAGATCTTCATTTCTGAGATGGGGCCGGCTCTTTGCAGGATGATATATACTGATGCCAATTTATCAATCACCCTCTTGCTCAAATGCAAGCATCTCAGATATTGCTTGGATCTAAAGGTGACAACAGCCTTGTGTCCCATGTACCTGACTGCATAAGAAAATGATTTGCATAGCTGCCTAAAAGCAGACACATATTTACTGGAGGTGAGCCTGTGGAAGCTTCTTCCCTTTCGCCAAACACCATCAGAAGCCACACACGCTTCCACACCACATACCAAAGCTGCAGCTGCATGGCCCATCCAGATAGACGAGAATTGCATTTGCCCATGGCTGGGCACACTATACACGCTAGTGCAGAAACTTGGAGTATTCAACCTGGCACACACACAGCAGAAAGGCAAACTGGATAGCACATGCTGCAGCTGGACATTCTCTCTTTTTTGGCCAAAATAGAAAGGCTCCTAAGCAGAGGTATTTTGAACATTCATAGTCAACTGAATTATGAGCTGGAAAAGCATCAGGCATGCAGTGCTATCCAGTACATGCCTTTTTTTCCTCCTTCTGGTTCATACATTTTCACTCCTTTTCAGATTTCTGGGCACGTACTGTACCTTGTGATGACATGGAAGAACACGGTCTTTAAGTCTTTACTAATTGTTACTACTGTATTTTTAAAAGGAGCTATTTAGGAAATTCTAATTTTTGTTACCATAGGAATGACGCTGTAGAATTCAGCAGAAGAAAAAATTAAACAGCAACATTTAAGTAATGCACTTCAACTTTAATTCTCTGCTCCCTCCAAGCTCCTCTTGGACATAAAGAAAAAGACTTTAAAAGCTCACTCTCCCCCTCAGTGCTGCTTGACTCTAACCCAAATTAGGAGGTGCAGCCCTGTTATCTATAGCAGGGCTTAGCAATGTCCTTTCCCACCCACAGAGTGTCTTCTCTTCTTCCCAAGTGAAGCCGCAGCAAAGTGCTCCTTGGCTCAAGAAGAGCTCCTCATCTGATTCTTTTTTTCAGCTAGTTTAAAGCAATGTTTATGCAACTTTTATACAATAAGATCTGGATGAATGGAGGAGCATCCAGTTCACTGTACAAGAGCAGGCTGGGCTGCTCGTACCGACTGAGCTTGCCCAGACGAGCTGACGCGTGATTTAGTGTAATTCTGAACAAAGTGCCTTACTAGAGCACTTTTACATGCCCCTTTCTGAATTGGTTTCCTCCTTCTTTTCTATTTGAAAGGTTTAGGTCTACATTAAGTAAAAACCAACATAGAACAAGTGAGCTGATTAACAGTTCTGCTGGCCTTATGCAGCAGGCAGAAAGAGACAAGGTAAGGAAGGACAATAAAAAGCTGACACTCAGACTTGCTATTCCCCCATCTGTTTTTTAAACCTTTGAACCATGCAAACTTGATAAGCAGAAAAAAGTGGAGACAGGTTTTGTTTTCCCCGGCTTCAATTCTTTTATGAGATGCTAATACTATTCTGACTTGTGAACAGCGTTCTGGCTTCCCACCTCATGTTTGGGAGAGCCTTGGATTAGTCAGAAGGAACTACTTAGTAGAACAAGGAATCTTGCACCTCAGTAAACAGATGTCTAGCATTAACAGTAAGAGTAGGATGTTCCTCAGCCCTCAGGAATGGTAGCAGTTCTATTGATTTTCATAGAGTGTGAGGAGCAGCTTTAATTCTCCTGAAGCAAAACATTTTTTTCTTCATAGCTGCTTTGACTCACTGATCCAAAGTCTCAGACAGGAACTGGGAGAGGAGCCTCTCTGGGACATTACAGTATGTGTCCATAACTTCACAGATGCTGTCAGCTGGTGGAGCCACTTACAGACTAAGAACCTAAGCCTGGTTCTTCCTCAGGAAATAAAGATGAGCCAAGAAAGCAAGCCAGTGACCATATTTTGGTATGACTTCCTGGCAATTCCAGTGGCCTTATTTATCACCCTTTTTTATCTCCTTTTTATTGCACAGATCTAGTGTGCTCCAGCATTCTGCCCTGAATTCTTGCTTCTGGAATTGGCTTATCTTTCAGCTGTCTGGCCAAGCCTACTCTAGTAACCCATGGCCACAGGATCCTGTCTCAACAAAGTACTACAGACTGGTCACAGGGGTAGGGAATTACACAGCCATACTGCAAAAAGGCACTATCAGCACTAGTCTATCAGGGTACTTGTTTGGCAAACCCAGCTATCTGGAGACTTGCGTCCAGCTCTGCTTTTAGCAAAGGCGTGACAGCACTTCCACAGCTCCTGCTGTTGCTGCTATTTGCTACAGCAGATAGGTATCTTCAGACACACACACTTATTTCCCTGGAGTTGGCCAAGCTGTTGAAACTGGATCCTTCTATGGGAATGCACAACAGAGGTTATTCATAAGCAAGCTGGAGATTCTGGGAAGCACAGTTGCTGCTCTGTCAAGGTAGTCGATAGCACTCTCTCTCTACTCTCTTAAATTCACCTTTTTGTGCTGCCCACTTACACTTTCATTTCCACATGGATTCACATGTGTGGTCACAGTCAAAAAGAGAAGACCTTAGTCATATTTTATGTAATATTTCCTTGCATCTCAAGGGGGAAAAAAGAAAAGAGGGAGGAGGAGGAGGACTCTGAAAGACTAAGGATGCTTTTACTGGCTTTTCATTAAAAATTATCTCCCACCCAGTTCTAGGACTACAGGAAAACATTTTTACTATAAAATCCTAGTATAGTGATGTCTACAAAAACAATGCTACAGATAAAAAAGGCTCTTAATCCTATGCTGGTGAGGCATTTTAACTGAGCACTTAACTGGCAGTTTTTGTACTTTTTAAATAAAAGGTCTCAAATTGTGAGGAATATCAGGTTAAGGGAAGTCTTTTGGTGTTTCAGTTCTCCTGCAAATACTTCAACATCCTCTTGCATAATTTTGAATCCAGCCAAAAGACTGGACAACAACAGAAACAGTCGACTGAATGCAAGACAAACCAAAAGCAGAACCACTGAAGTTACTGGCAAAACTTGGATAGGACACTGAAATACAAATACAAAAGAGGGGTGGGGTGAGCAGAGCAAGGGAGAAGGAACAGTTTAAACTTATCCCTGTATGTTATCAGCATTCCCTCAGGTATTTTATTCAAGAAGGTAGAATTTCATCTTCATTGTCTTTGTATAAGTGCCATAATCTCCAAGAACCTCTGCCTCACATACACCTTTTGTCCTGAAGGCTAACAGAGCTACTTCACTGGTAGTGCTCTGGTAAAATACCTTCTGGGTAAATGTGCTTTTATAAACAACCCATTCTGAAGTTAATGAAACTATAACATGTTTATGAGCCTGAACCTTGGCACTTCTAATACAAAAGTTACTTCTGGGAATCAGAGCTGGTTGACAGCATCTGAGAGTCTAGCCTAATGCTCTTACCAGTACATCCTACCTCCTGGCTTCTCTTGGGCAGTTTTCTCTAAAACAAATAGTATCATGCAATTCTAAAACTGGCACAGGAGCATGGTTAGACTCGGTGTCCTTATTTCCTCACCCTTCTGGTGCAAGGACATGTTAGAGTGGCCCTGGAGTTGCCAAGTTAATGCAACAGCACTGAACTACCTAGGAGAGCTTGCAACCCTCATGTTATGCTCCTCATGTCACCAAAGGAAAGGCAGTCTGTAGAAATGGATTTTTAACATTTATGCCTCCCCCTTGTGTTTCTACGATATGAATTCACCAGACTATGTTTATTTCTCAAAAGATCTCTCCGAATGCAAACTTTACACATCGTATTTCCTTAGTATCCTGGTAAAAATGTAAATCCAAGAGAGCACTGAGAATAAAAATTCTTTGAGTTACTGAGTCTAAAATTTCCCACTGAAATCAATCAGAATTACAACTATTATAGAAGCCATCCAATATTTAACAGAGGATTTGATCTAAGGGGATAGGAAGCATAATATAAATGACTTCATCTAGCACAAGCTATGAAGAGACAAATTAAACATCACTAATTCTGTTCCAATAGGAAAGAGGAATCTTGCCACCCACTTCACAATAAATGGGATTGAGTTAGGGTGGGAAGTTAGTTGTTTTCATTTTTTTACAGCAATAAAAGTACTTTTATTCTAAAGAACCTGGAGAAAACATTGTGGAAAGCGAGGACAAGAAAATTCCTGGCCTGATCCTGATCTCCCTGACAAGAATAATATCACAGCTGTCCTTTTGTACAAAGAGTTTGTCTGCACAGAGGGAGCAAAAAGTTACCTGATGACAAGCAGAAGGAAAAAATCGGACAACAAACATACCTGACTTGCCCACGCCAGCTCGACCAAAGATTGCCAGCTTCACTTCTGCGCTCTTAGCCATGCTGGAAGGAACGGCGACAAATTCACTCGATTATCAAAAGTGAGGCAGAAGAACTGTTCCCAGCTCCTGTCTTCGGCTTCACCATGTCATTGTGACGTCAATGCAGAGCCTGAAGAAGAACACCACGAGGATGGAGCTGCAAGGAGCCAGGCTCTCCCTCACACACACATCCTTTTTAAACAGTCACGATAAGTGATGCTACATTCCCGCTTTAAATGTTGCTGTAACACCACTGACACATTTGGCACTGTTCATGCAAAACCCACCTTCAGCTTTCAAGCGCTTGCTGTCTGTTTCCCACTGGCACTGTAATTCTGAAACAGGTACTTAACAGTCTGAAGTATCTGCCTCCCAAGGTTCTTTACTTGTTCTTTCTCTTTCAGCAGCAATTGCTGATATTTACTGTATTTGCCTCAACTCCAATGAATTAGCTTTTGTTGAATGTCTTTAAAAGCCGTGAGCACTCACTAATAGTGCCTGCAGATAGATGATCTTTCCTCAAGCCCTCCTTGTCCAGAAAGGTTTCAGTTACTCAGCTGCAGTTGCAGAAAAAACCTCTAAGCACTTATACCTTACTCATCCTGCTAAACAAATCTGTACCCAGATGTTCTTTACTGCTCCTTGTTTAAGCTGCCTCAGCTCATACACAAACATTTGGCAAAGCGTGGGGTTAGAAAAAGGATGCCGGAATTTCTGGTAATACACTTTTAATGGACCACATGGAATTATCTATATTCATAGTTTTGCTGCATGACCTTGAGCAAGTCATCTGACACTTCATATCCTTGATTTCTCTAACCTGGACAGTAAAAATATGTAAGAGTACTTGTCATTGTAGAATGCTTTAAGGACTTGGGTGAAAAAATTACAACTGTGATGATAGTGCTGATCCTTCAGCCCTGACTAAAACATCAAAAATTTATTCTCCCTTTAAAACAAGGCAGAACTCTACTTTTGAATACAACCTGCAATGAAGGTCTGCTGTTGTCCTCTTCAGACGTAAATTCTAACAGTGCCGTAGGAAGCTCTCTGTGTTAAGATTACCCACTCTACACCAAAATGCATTTCAAGTATTTCTTGAGATAAAAGCTTAAAGCTTTTGCCTACTTAAAAAAAAAAAAAAACAAAAAAAAAAACAACCAAAAACCACAAAACAAAAAACCAACAAACTTGCAAAGAGTAAAGACATCTTACATAGAGGAGGGTCCCAATACACCTCTGATGTCTTCATGGTCCTGATTTTGCCTAACTGTAAGTACCAGACCGCGCTCACTTTGCACGAACAGTTGGAAACGCAGAGCGCGTCCGGAGCTGCAGCTGTATCACCTAGCGGGGTAGGTGGATGGGAGGGAGCACCAGCGTTCCCCTCCCACGAAAGCTGCCGGTCTCCTGCCGGTACCCTGCCCGCCCCTCGCCGGTTGGTACCCTCTACAAGTAAGTCTATGTGGATACGCATTCATCACCGCCCATCCCGTAACTTCGGGGGGCCTCTACTCCCCGGCAGGTGCCGCCCGCCCGGCGCAGGGTAGCCCCCGCTGCTCCGGGCACCATCGCTCCGCGGCACGCCCGGCCCCGAGCGCACGGGACACCGTGCCCCCCGCACCGCATTTTCCCACTCACGCTCCTCGCCGCACCCGCGCACAGCACCCACGCTCTCACCTCCTTGCGCGCAGCCAGCAGCGCGGAGGCGCCACGCTCGGCGGTGGAGGCGCGGCCCGTCCCCAGGCGCACACGAGCTCCTGGCAGCGGCGCGGCCGCACAATGCGGAGAGGCCGCCCGGCTCCCTCCGCCCCCCCGCACCCGCAGCGCCCCTCGCCGCCGCGCGGCACTGCGGCGCCCCCTGCGGGCCGCCGGGCTCAGCACGGTGCGTCGCTGGCGTGCGGGTCCCAGCTGCGCTGGGCCAGGCGGGACGGGGAGGGGCGGGCGTGGTGGAGCCGGCCCATCGCTGTAGACCTCTGCCAGAGTCACCCGGTGCCCGGCACGGTCTGCGCGGGCAGCGAGCGCAGCCCTGTCATTCGGCGTGTTTGACGGTAACGCAGCCTTTAATTATGTGGGTCAACGGCTGCTGTTCCCACGCTTGAAGTTTGACTGAGCCCTGGCTAGCCGGCCCGGCCAAGTTTGCTCCACTTTCCACGTCTCAAGCACTCACTTTCCCTCCCTCTTACTTGCTTGGTGCTGCTCAGCAGTAGCACCCTGTGTAACTCTCCGCGGAGCCAGCAAGTATCTCCCCGTCCTGACAAGCCTATCAGCAAAGCAAGGTTTGTGCCTCATCAAACCGCTTTCCAGTAGCACCAACCTTTTACACAGCACTCTTCCTCCCTGCATGCTATCATGGCTTATGGTGAAGGAAAGCATTGTTATTTCAATCTGCAAATGGGGAAAGCGAACTGTGTAATTACATCATGCCCTCCAAGAGGCTAGTGTCACAACCAGGGATCAAGTTCTGAAATGCTGGGACAGAATTCACCAGACAACTCTTCGTTCCGTGTTTATTAAACTACCCAGCAATGTAAAGATACATTAGCAACAGATGTGAATCAGAGCTGGAAAGCACTTGAAGTTCACTGGTTGTTCTTCCTCTGTTTCTCTTCCAGCCCAGATCTGAATGAGATACAAGATGAGTAAAAGAAAAAGCTCTCCCCTCACTGTCTTTCTCAATGCAAAATTAAATAATGGTTGGATCAGAAAGGATCTTCCATAATCCAAGTCTCTTTACAAGAGCACAATAACCATTCAGGGGGTAGGGTGGCAGTCCTGTGGACAGATGAGCGCCTACCAATCATTCCCTCCACACTGTGCCAGCTGCGGGCACTCTGGAGCAGATCTTAAAATAGTTGTACTGCACATCATTCAAAGGATAAAAATATTAGAAGGCAGATGTGAAAGCAGTAGTGTGGTTGATGCTTTACTTGTTAAAAGTAATGCTGAGGCCTTAAGCCTTCAATCTCTGGTTTACATAATTTAGAGGGATTAGTTTTTTCCATCCCCCTAAGAGAGCAACTGGTGAGCGTCTTTTTTGCATCTGGGGAAATGTGTGTTAGTCTCAAGGCTTGACGTTTGTTTTGTGTCTGTGGAACTCACTCTGCATGGGGCTGTCAAATTAAATACAGTAACTGGCTTTTCCAAAGCAGCAGATAACGTATGAAACATTAAAAAACCTAGTGACTGTGCAGTCAGTTTCTGCTGAAGTCTCTTACTGGTGCCAGGGCATACGAACTTAGTAAACACTGATCATGAACACAGGCAAAGATTTCAGATGGTTCAGATGGTTCAGACCCTGGTCCAGGACTGCTTCATTTGTCATTTGCTCTCTGTCTACTTGCTGTACTTCTCATACATAATGTTGATGAGTTTGGGTTTTCTTTCCTATGTAAAATGGGTTTTGAAGGTGTTAAGTTTTAGTCCTGTAGACCAAGGACTACCTTGCTTTGTCACAAGCTGTGGTTTGTTGGTATTTGGAGCTGATGTCACATTCTCTCAGTGGTTTTGCCGCTTGTGCTGATCCTAAAATGTGCTCGTGGGCTTCTGAGATCAAGGTATTTCCCTATGAAGATCATCATGTTACTAACTGCCTTCCATCTTCTAAAAATTTGGGAATAGAGATGCAAAACTGAAGGTACATGGGATCTGATCCCAGATGGGCTGTCAAGTTGGAGATGCTACCTGTTTATCATCAAACCCTTACTACTGGCTTAACATTTTCACTCTGTATGCTTATGGTGTATTTTCTGGAGGTGTTTCTGTTGTGCAAGCCAATGGCATTTGCTTCCTCAAAGGTGGGAGAGAGGACCGGTGTGACACTGCAGGCCTGACAGCTAACACATGAAGAAGACATATGAACAGGAAAGGAATGCTGAAGATGTGGATTTCCTTCTTCCCCACAAGCTGGAAATCCCATGAGATTTTGCAAGTTTCAACAGCTTCCAGAACAACATTCAGGCATGGGGGTTGATAAGACTCATGAGAGAGGGCAAGAGGACAGAAACCTGATTTCAGAAGGTCACTTAAGAGCCTCTGAATCCTTTGGAAAGGAGTGTCATTTCATCTTCTGAACACCTTTGGGTAAACTGGGTCCAAGTGTCTAAAAACTGTAGAGCAGATCATGACTTGGAGAGGAAACAGATTCCTCTTGTACAATTCCTACAGTAAGGAAGGGCTTATTGAGCTCATTACTACTGTCTTTGCTGATGCTGCAGAAGAGCAGCAGCAAGTATTGCTGTAGAGCAGAGCACACTTGGTCAGAGCTGGATCCTTGCCTTAAACAGCAACCCAGCAGTGACTTGGTTTACTTTTTCACCCTTCCTTCCAGCACATCTCCCAAGATGATATTTAATAACAAGTAGAAAAAATACCAAATAAATAAAATGTTAACACAAATATTTGTAGCTATTACTAAAGGTTCACAGGGAAACATTAGGATTGTTTTCTTCATTTTCACAGAATATTTTCCAAATGTTTTTGTGTTGGCTCTCAGCAATGTACATAAATCTGTTCAGTTATGCTAATCTAGTGCCGTAAAAAAATTTGCAACTTTGTCATTAAATTATGGAGGAACTTTGCTGTTATTTTGGTTTGTATTCAATATGAAGTATTGCTGTTTTAAATTAATAGTGCATTTTCTCATATTTTCTCCCATTGCTCATGAAACACTGAGTTTATAACAATGGGTTTTCTTGAGTGTATGCTAAGGGTTTATAACTTCTGTTTCTCTCAACTTTTTCCTCACTGTATAGAAAACAAATCAAATACATATTTTTGAGATGCAGGCTTTGTTACTTAAGAAGCATTTATTTCTAATGTAGTAAATAAGACCACAATCCTGCAAATATCTGTTTGTGTTGAACTTTACATGGACAGTCTTAACAGAGTGGCTAAAGAAGCTACAGCTTCCCCATTATTCGTATCACTTGAAGGTGGGCTGTGGAGTTGCCTGCAGTTGCCTGCTTCAACATTTTGTTCCATTTGGCTTCACAAGGTGCCAAAACAGGGCAGTGGAGATGGACATGGGATGCTTTTCACAGCATCTGGTGGATCTCACACATGCAAATGCCTCTGTGCTATGAACTAAAGCAGGCCTTCTGTCTCGGTCAGCATTTGGTGCATTTGCACAGAGACATGTAAATACACAGCTTTGGTTTCTTGCATTAGCAAGATTTTTATCAGGTATATTTAATAGCGCTATATGTGCAAAGCGGAGAAGCACAATTCAGTAAGAACAATTGCTAAGTAGACTAGCAAAGCATAAACTCATGTTTTATTACTCATGGCTAATGGATACTCTTCGTATTGCCTAAGTTAAAATGAATAAATTCTGCTAATTTGTGTTTCTTCTCACCTGTGCCATTTATTAGGTTGTGTCCTGACAGTGTGCTTTTAAAAATGGTCAAGCTGTGACTCCACACTTACAGGAAGACAGCAGTGACTGCACTGACTCCATCTCTGTTTGGTATGTTACTACTGGGTTTGCTTTTCTGGTATTCTTATTTCTCCCTCCACACTTACACAGATCACAGAGATCCTTTAATAGGTTTTTGTTAATGTAAAATTAATCTCCCTATAACCCTAAAAGAAGGCAGGGTGGCTGTAACTCTCTCAGAATGGTTAAATACCTACTTGCTTTAAAACTGAAGAGGTTCTGTTTCTACTCCAAAGTAAGTTTGGATTGATAACTAAATCACCTACATAATAGTCTGCAGACTAACTAGTACTCCTCTATACAAATATCTAGAGATATTTGTGTTATGGTTCTAATAAAGTACAGTTATAGAATTGAAAAAAAAAACCTGGTAACAGTTGCAACAAATTTTGCAACAAATGTGCAATACCAGACTTTACTAATGAATGAGTTACACTGATGTGTCATCCTAATTTCTTACAGATGTATTCATGTTCTTTGAAAGGACCAGTGGAAATTGTCATAAATTTGTTTGCTAATCATTTTAATGAATGCTAGCCCTTATTCTTTCTCAATGGTATTATAATTGCAATCCGGATTGCCATAGGGACCCCACTGTAATTCATCATTGCTTCAGTGTTCAAATTCTCTGGTGGAACTAGATATTGGTGTTGACAACATCTGGAGTTTTATGTCTCTCATCTTCTTTCTACCTCCTTCCCTCTGTTTAATCAAGAGAATGGGAAGGGGAAATTGCTGCCGTTGTTGATATCTTCAAGAAACTGAATGACTGCTAGGACTTAGGAGGATGTCTAGACGTAGGATGTAACAAATACAGGCCTGTTCACAGAGGTGAGACTGAGGTACATCTACTTTCAGCACACTGTAATGCCATTTGTCATGGCATGCCCAGAAAGGCAGGAAGCCACATTTTCATCTTCCATTCTGAAGCCAACCAGTGGCTTTAGCAGGGAATGCCCTTCCAAGGAGAGTGCCTGGTGACCACAGTACATGTTTAAGTGTGATATATTCATTATATTATGTATTATTCCATTTCTATCACTGGGGCTGTTTCATGTTGTATAAAACAGTTCTGTACTTGTATCAAGGAGAGAGGTAATTTATAGTGGTTTTCAGAGAGGAACCTTTATCCATGCCTGATGAAAACCAGACTTGCTTCCTATCTAAGCCCTTCAGATGAAAGTCCATTCTCAGGGATAGGGTTTAGAAAAGGTCATGGTTACACTGCAAGGGAAGTCTTGACTGTGGCATATTCCTTAGCATAGACCATGTCTGCCTGGCCTTGCAGTAGTTGACAATATGCTGCTTTGTGGGAATGTGACTATGGAAAATAGCAGACACATCAACCTGTGTCCTTTCTAAAATGGCCTGATAACATGTACAGCAAAGTACTGTGGGAATAGTGGGCACAGCCAGGTGGCAGGATGGGGTACGCAATGCTGTCAGAGAGAAGAAATAGACACAGCTGAAAGGGCTAATCCTGCAGCCCTGTGTCTAGGATGAAAAAAAATGTGGCAATCCCTGCCACAAAGAATATTTACTCCCTTTTAGGAAAACACTGGGTGATAAAATGATAGCACTCTTCCTCAAAGCAGTATGGTATTTTTGGGCAGGGTACAGTGCTGTGAGTTTGATTTATGTATAAGGCAATGAAGGAATTCAAGCAGCCTCAGACTGCACGGCTGGTGAAGGAAATAAGGTCTTTCAGTGTTAAGGGAGCTAGTTGGAGCTCAGATGCTGAGTATTTCTGTGCTGCTCTGTGGTTGCAGGACATGAGGTGATGGTGCTAGTAGATAATCTCTCCATGTCTGGAAATCATTATTGCTAATCAGTCTAGCTTTTGTATACTGATTATTGTTATCATATTTCTTGTCAAAATTTTTGTGATCTAAGCTTCAGTCAGCAACAAAGATCTTTAGGCACCATTTGTAAATGAGTGATTATCAAACCAATATAAAATTTTATTAGGACAGAATGAGAGCCATCAGAAATACCCTCCAAGAAAATAGAGGGCAATGTTATCAAGCCGATGCTTGTTGTAAACCCAAATTTCTCAGCACATCACCCTGTCCAGCAGAGAAATCCTGAAAGAACGTATTTTAAAAAGCAACTAGTAATGCCAGAATTTCAGAAATCTTTTAAGCACACATTAGATTTCCACAGACTCCCTGTTCACCTATAGGCAAAGCTCAAAGGATTTAGTAAAACAGCAGCAATTAAAAGAGGAAAGAAATACCTAAGATTAGTTCTTTACTTAGGCTTCCTGTTTTCATATAAACATAAATCCCATGGAAAACAGTGTAACATTATTACGGAGATTTACTAACCAAGCAGTAGCTAGCTTATTTAAGCTGCTCATTATTCCAGTATCCACTGATAGTGGAATAGCAGGAATACAATTAAGAGTACTCCTTAAGGAACACAATCCACTAATACCTGCACTATCCCCTTTATTAGTATGGTATAATAATAATGTCTTTAAAAACTTCATTGCATGTTTTGAGCTTGAGTCAGACAAAAGATTAAAATAATAAATGTCACATTTTGAAATACTTAAAGCTAATACTTAAAATTAGTTTAATTTCATTTTGTTTTGGCTCTATCCAGGAAAAAGAATACCTACAGGAAACTCATAATTTAGAGCAATGACTGTAGCTGCAATATCCCTGCATGTTTAAAGAACATTCCGTACAGTGGCACATTGTTTTTTTCATTTGTTACTCAAGTCTTCTGCCTCAAGAATGAAATTGCACATTTTCTCTAACATTGCACAAGATTGTAGTTCAGTCATTTAATGTGTACAAGCACAAAGCGAATGGGCACTGAGGAAGAATACGTCAAGTGAAATAGATTAGTTATAAGAATTTCACAACAGTTTGGCTGGTGTTGGTTAAACTTATTCTAAACTGAGGTTCTTAAATACAAAGACCAGTGCTTTTTCCACAGTCAAGATGATTTCTGTTTACATCTGTTTAAGAGCAGAGGTAATCTGGAGTCCTTGTAGCAAGGAAAGAAAGATTAACGATTTTTCCATCGTGTTCCATATCTAGGCTGAAACACCAAAACAACAACTCATTGCTGTCCTTGAAACAAAACAAGGAGATGTCAGAGGATTTGGAAGTATCATGCACAAATCAGTGAATGGTGGTGTGTCTTTTTCCAGTAAAGTAACTTTGACAAACATAGCATAAATGCTTGTAAATATTAGTACTAACATAGCGTTCATAATTTTCTTACCTAAAAGTTTTGGTAAAAAATGTTAGAAGATAGTTGTTCCAAATTTTTCAGTGTCTGTTTGGGAACTCTTTAAGAGGTCATGATATTTCTGAAGAATTCATAAGCACATTTTCTAAAAATCAGGCACCCAGAATTGTTTTGCTTTTGAAAACACCACTCGTCTAAAATCACTGTTAATTGAATTAGTATTCATCTTCTGAGTGATTTAATTAGTGGATGCTGATGTATCTCATACCAGTTTGATGTTCAGAGAACCATGATCCAGTATTTTGTAAATAGTAGTTCCATATTAGGTGTTTTCAAGGGAGCAAGCAGTCAAATTGAGGTAGCTCATACCATCCCCCTTCCATGTGATGTCTACATGTTCACAGTGCTCTGCATTTACTCTTAGCCATATAAGTGCATTGGAGCAAGTTTTCTGTTGGTTTTAAAATTGCAGATTACTGTTTATTGTAACCTCTCATGATTCAGACAACAGGCTGAGACACAGCCTGAATACAGCGTGATCATATGCAGCAAGTCTATTACTGGAAAGTGGGAAAAAGTATCCCTAGCTGTGGACAGTGTCTACAGCTATTGTCTCCATTCTATTAATGGTATCCTCTTAAAAACAGCTATGGGTGGGAAGATTATTTCATTTACCTTTAGCCATTTAATATACATCAAGTCTAAGCTACTGATCTAACTTTCTGCAGTACACAGAGTTACCTCTAACAGGCAGTTCATCATCTCCTTCTCTAAAGGCATCTTGGAGGCTCCAGTGTTTCAATACAACCTAACAACTTACTACAATAATCTACTTCCAGCAGCCCTTCTCATATAATATAGCTGGAGGTTGGTCACAGGCATCATTTTATAGTCAAAATGACTATTTTGGTGAGATACATTGAGTCTAGTGAATTCTTTTTCTTCCTTTTTTTTTTTCTCCCCCACTAATTGTAAAGTGATTTTAGTTGAGTAGTTCAAACAGAGCCATTTTCTATTGGTCAAATAAGTCCTATTTCCAGATAAAGTCTTGAAGGTTTTGTTCTGCAGATCCATCTCTATAAAGTATATTTCTCAAGAAGTGACTGCCCCACAGGACTTTTCTCCAGGAGTTCAAAACCTGGCATTCATATTCTACATATGTGCCTTACCAGGCAGCTCTGTGACTGTCATTCTTGTTATCACAGAAGATGAGAAACATATAAAAAAATACATATATTTATGGAACAACCTTGCATACAGTTTTGGTCTACTGACAATTGTTTCTTTTCAGGACCACATAGACACCTTCTGGAAAGCTTCGTATGTGTCATTCCTGAAGACCTTCTCACACATGAAACTGTCACTTTGTCTCAGCTTCTGGCTTTGTCTTCCTCTGGCTTTTACAATAAGAATAAATAAAAAGACAGCCTAACCACTGTAACTGTGAACTAAGATCTGCCTGGCTTTGTTATAAGACTGAGGTAGTGACCATCATCACCTGCAGCTACATAAAGAGCTTGATTGCTCTTTCTCTAGAGCCTGAATAGGAGAGAGAGCTTGTTTTTTAAGGAGGTCCACTATTGTCTTCAGTACTAAACCCACTGGCAACTACAAGTCTTTCAGTAAAACAACCGCCTCCAGATGCACACAGCTATTTAACGTGGGTTTCAGGGTGGCACCTCTTGAAAGGCACAAACTAGCAGTCTGTATTTAGAGATTTGAATTCTTAGGCTGAATGAAACAAAGATTATTTTCCCTTTTAGGTTTTCTGGGGGTGCCATGGTGAGAGGAATGCATTTTTATGTCTTTTTTAAGTCAGGCAGCAT